ATGTTGAAACCTATTATGCTTTCCATTCAGCGCCCGACCGTTGTTGCTACCTTGACGTGGTGGTCAGCCTTGCCTATCGTGATGAAGCAACCGAGCTATACTGGCTGGAACAACCGTTCCTCAAGGTCCTACCATGTCAGACAGGTCGGTTGAAGAGCGGTAAGACTAAAAGCAACAAACCCAAGATCCGAAGGCGAAGTCGTACTGCTGACTGTACAGAGGTGTGACAGCAGTAAGGTGTTTCCTTCAGACAAACAGCATGACAGCGATGCTGCCTTCCCACAAGGAGGGGTGGGGTTAGAAAAGGTCGACCCTAAAAATGCGCACCTCACCTTACCTCACGAATTTCCGTCTCCGGCGGAGCTAACACGTCAAAAACCTCCCACGAAAAGGCCGTGCGCGACCGGCCTCAAGCAGTTGTCCCTTGGGCACTGCGGTCACGCTCTCAGGTCACTGGGACCACCTCTAATCCAATTTCCTTTTCAGGTACCTCCAGAACAACCCTTCCTCGGTGTGGGCAACCGGGAAGTGATAACCGCCCTCATACCTCTAACAGCACTCGAGACCACTGTATTCATAATCAACCTTCTTCTTCAATTCCTATTATTCCTCTTACATCGACTTTCCACTCTAAACTTCCTCTTTCGGCTTTCTCCTCGAGTGTCACCATAGCCAACGATTCTAGTGCTCAAAACCCTGTCCCAGGTCTACTGAAACCACGCTCCAAACTACACATTGGAGCCTTCAACGTACTCACCCCATGTCAAAGCGGTCAGCAGGCTTCCTTGGCTAAAACCCTAGAGTCTCTTTCCATTGATGTATGCTGTGTCTCTGAAACACGCATACAGGATTCCAGTGTGGTCACTCACTTGACCTCACCTCGGCAAAACGTAGAGCCAACGAGATACACCCTCCGTGTATCTGGTGACCCGATGGCCAGTTCTCGTGGAGTGGCAGGTGTAGGCATAGCACTAAGCATGAGGGCGGAACAAGCACTGTTAGAGTGGATCCTTGTAAACAGTCATTTATGTGCTGTTCGGCTAAACGGCTCCGTAAGAACTCGGAAGGACAGGGACACACGTCGTTGCTTTTTTGTCGTTTCTGCCTACGCTCCCACTGACTGCAGCTCAGATGATGTGAAAGATGAATTTTACAGAAAGCTTTCTGAACTTCATCAGAAAGCTAAACGCTCAGACATAGTACTCGTAGGGGGTGACTTTAATGCTCAGATAGGTAGCTTAAACCAAACAGAAAGGCATTTAGGTGGATATTTTAGCATTCCAGCACAGCGAACAGATAATGGTGATCGTCTGCTGCAACTGTGCTCAGACAATCGCGTCGGTGTATACACTCCCTGTCTTCTCTTAAACTAAGAGATTAAAATCACTTCATATCTTTCCTTCTACGAACCAATTCTTTCTTCTTGTACTATATCTCTATATGCAATCTTTCTCTTATATATTACCACCTTTGACCTAACCACTGCTATGAATCCAGTGTTCATCTTGTTGTGCTGATGCGGTATGGCAACCTGGACCGATGCACATATGTGCCTGGTCCTACTTTGTAGCTAACTGACTGACTGATTATGCTTTCCATTCAGCGGTGAAAGAAATGAAGTCATCCAAGTTAATAATGGGAAAATAATCTCATATGATGATGGTATTTAATCACGACCAAATTAAGACAGTAATTACAACTACTGGATATCTGAATTGTAGGATTTTAACTCAACGAATGGAAAATACCGGACTTATCATGAGACTCGGATGTTCTGGCCTCAACTCCAGACAGTATTCAGTCGTAATTGAAGAGGTTGGAGCTAAGATGAAATCAATATCGATCCGTAAAAAATACCACATATATAAAAGAATATTACGCCAATGCCACAGATTCAGAAAGCAAGATTGAGTTTTCCCAATTTGCGGTACATATTACCTAAATGAGATGTCGCCATCGTCGAATGCACAGCACAATATTCTTTTCTGTATTACTTTGTGACCATGAAACAGCCTGCGAAAGTGGAAGTCATACATACACTCCAAGTTTTTGATAATGAGTGTCTTCAAAGCACCACTTGTCGATAATGGTGCAACCGAATGAGCAATCCTTTAATTTATCATAGGATAATACGCAAAGATATCAAATGAGTTGATAAGATTTTGAATGTTCATCGATTGTAGCGCCTAACGTCCATGTGCGTTGACCGAGGATGTTAACTGGTATAGGAGTGATTCATTATAAATCTAAAGGTGATTAAACAAAAAAATGACATCAGTCTACGATGTCACTGGCTGTTGGTCCGAACCATTTTAATGGATGGAGACTAACTGGTCGGGGTTCGCGTGATAACTGTAATCAGTGATTGTGGATTTCAAGTGACATAGTTCAGTTCCGACTACAATTTAAAGCAACTTTTCATCCATTCTTTGGGTATCCATCTGCATTTATTATGACGGACTAGTCAACCGATAATAGTCAAATTAATCTAATAGACCCATCGATAAACACATAATCACTTATTTGAATCATATTTACAATGAAAATGTACTATTTTGGTATTGAAATATTGTTTATCTATATTCATTTAGTGTTTATGCACCAAATTATTTGTCTTTATTGTGATTCCTTTCATTTTTTGGTTGGTATGACGTTTTCATTTTTCTTTTCATCAAATGCTTTCCTAATGTTCTCTATCCTTTTCTATCAACCTGATATTGAATATATGTGTCATAGATTTTTGAAGAGCGGTTCGTTTTTGCTTTTTATGTAACCTGAACATTCTTGAAAAAGGTGAATATAATATATCACACTGATCTCCACATATACACAAATAGGCACACCAAAGGGAAAAAAAATATCTGTGGGTGTAAGCATTACTGTGCTTCTCTGTAAAACACTTCAATATACCCAGATATTAGACAAGAAGAAAAATCTAAGTTCCATGTGCAACATGATACGTCTCAAAGTAGAGCATTCGGAATGTTAACGTATACATGATGTTCAAAAAACATAATTTCTTCTCTCTTAAGCTGAATATCGATTGAAGTCATGAAAGGGTTGAATAATTGTTTCGTCCTAGTGCGGGACTCCTCAGCCGTACTCGCGAGACTCGAGATCCTTAGTTCAATCTTCGACAGGGTTGCGGTCGCTCGCTATTGAGGAGTCTCCTACTAAAACGAAATAACTATCTAATACTTCCTGATTTTAAATGGATGTATAGCTTAGCTTGATTCGTGATATCGATTACATTTAATTATCTCCACGAAAGCATATACTGATTAGCCTTATTTTGTTGCGTTGAGTTTTACTGAGCGATACAAGCTGGGACTCTCTTATGCGTTGAGAAATGTTCCTCGACAAACAACCCATGTTTTTACCTTTATAGATGCAGGTGAATAAATAAATGCAGAATTCAGCATATATTAGTAAAGGACGACGCAAAGTTTAAAATCGTTTATTCTGTGGAATAGAAATGATCATGACCATACCGTATCGAACTCAGCATTCACAATCATTTATACAATCAAACGGAATATAATCTTGTTGTTCGTGTATGGAATTATTAGCACACCATAATTAATTGTAGATAGTAATGATATCTTTATGAAACAGTGTTAAGGCAATCACAAGATTACTCAATCTTTGTTAATAATATTAAAGTCTTACTTTTTGTGACGGTGACTCCAAAATGTCTCTTTTAGTTTGATTTTATGATGTATGATCATTCCCCTTCTCGAATTTTCTATCGATATTTTTGGTTCACTAATTTTCTGTATACTTGAAAGTTGGTCACACTTTTGTTGCTACATATATGTAGTTGTACCATCTCAATTTGTTCCGATACTTCTCGTTCTTCTTGCTTTTCCAGTTAATTATTTAAGTGTTGCGTGTCAGTTGCTGTTATCGAGTCCGCAATAGATCAATTCATATTAAAATAATTGAATCGTCCCTTATTTCCTGAGTATGGTAGACCAACCTGAAACCCCAGTAGACATAATCAGCTTTATCCAAGGCGTAACAAATAGTTTGTACCAACGATGAGCCTTAGATTACTCACCATCAATTTTTCGAATACAAGTGTTTATCGGAAATTGTTTACTTTTCATTGGATTGTACCTGAAATCCCGTACACTATTGAGAAAACATTCTCATTCTAGTTTCAAACCAGCTAACTAACAAACGATGAATTTTATTAGGCATTGAATCATTTTATTCAAGTTAGAGCACTAAATTGTGCCATTCGAATCAAATTAAAGACCACTATGAAGTTCTTGAATTAATGTCCTAGCCAGTACCTAAGACTTCGTTAAAGGAGCGTTAGTTATTCGATTGACTACAGAAACCCCTTACTTACGAATGCTTGCTAGCATGAAGCTATAATATCTGCGGCCCTACTGTTTATGCTTGGAAAATGGGAATTACTATAATTCCTACGAAGTAAAGTAAGAATATAAGGGACTGGTATGGTGGTGTATTGACAACTCAAAACACAAACCCAAAACAATTCGTTCTAAATCACCTTCTCATTAAACTAATCACACTTATTGACATAATGTATTTTATGCACTTGATGATTAGTTAATAAACATCTTATAAACGAAAAGGTTCTCAGAGTTACTATAAAGACACATGAAATTCATACACAAATAAAATAAAGAATATAATTATCATACTGGATGGAAGTTCACACTTTTATTTGGATATGAGGTGAAATTGAAAACAGTCAAACGAAAACTTAAAAATAGGTTTCTTTACTAGTTGACACTCGCTAACAAGGTGAAAAAACTTACTCTATCCCTCAAAATTTAATTGCTAGCACTGATTGTCACATACTGAAGCGTTAATACTGAGCTTTATTGGGACAACGACTGATCTTCGTATAGAACTGAGTTGTCTACAGTAATTACTGATTAAATAACATCCAATTTCAAGTTTGTCTACTTATCTTAATTTTGTGGTCGAATTCTACTGATCTGCTTTTTTTCCTATTTCTTCAGTTTACATTCCTACTAATATTACAGTTGATGCGGAAAATCAATTAATAGAATGGTTTGGGCTGCCAATAATTTTCAGTAATCTCCTTCATCATTATGAAACTAAATTGTCTGGTCTTCCAAAAGCATGTGAACAGGGCAGTGAATTTAATTTACCAATTACACAACAAGAAATCGGTAAGTCATGTTTTTTTTTATTTGTTGGCAAACATTTAATTGGTTACGGATAAGAAATACGTACATTTATGTCAATACAATATTAATGCCTCATAATTAATCAATTGGAGAACCTTTGTCAGCTATAAATAAATAATTTTCAAGTTAGAAAATTGAAGCGTACTTTTTGATAATCTTGAATGAATTTTGATCAGTTTTTGTCGGGATAGGTATTCGTCTTGTGTGGATTGCCTTGATATAGCTATTATTCATAAGTTTGCATCGAAGAGATGAATTTTGGGTTAGAAATGGCATTGAGTGAACGTGATTTTTTCTGCGAATAAAGACTTATCAAAATTCAATCGAAATTTTTAACAACGAGATAATTTAAATCCAAACTAGTAATGAAGAATATGTATTTAAAAGCTGATTCTTTCATTAATGACTGATATTAACCAATGGACCCTTGAAAAAATAACAAGAATCATTGTTTGTTAGATATATTGTACCTCAATTCAAGATACCTCAGCAACAGAACAAAACCTACAACTCCGCCTCCAGCATATAATCGCAAAACCTTCATTTTGAGTTGGTGATTCATAACACTATCGATAGTGTGAATTCATCAATACTTTTTATGACATAAATTCCCCCATATTTTTAAAAATTAAAAAAACCTGCCTTTTGATCTACAATTTGGAACATATACCTTTGAAATAAATTATGGAGAAAATTTACAGTTCAAATTGATAGCGTTGTTGGTGTTTCACAATAGTAACTGTTTACCAAAAACGTATCCTGAAGTAAATGAAATGTGGAAAGACTGGGACCTCCAGTAACCCCGGAAGAGCTACAGGCCGAGTTATCAGCTTTTATACTAATATATAATGATATATTCATACGTACATATGAAACCTGTAGAACCAATCAAGGTAGTTTATGAATTATTGATAATAATGAACTAGATAAAGATATAATTAAAAAACATATTGTTTGCTTATATGCGTACTTTTTCTTAGTTTTGAGAAATATTCCCTTTTTCTCACTCAATATGTTTCCTTATGGTTGCTCGGGAAAAACATTTCTTTGACTGGAAAACAAGAGGTGTATATTCTTGTGTGAAATTTGATGTCATGAGAATTTCAAAAGTAACTCTAAAAACATAGACTGGTTTAATTTGTCAAACTAACATTCAATAAAAATACAAGACATAGATGAATGTAGAAACTTAATCAAATATGTTGGCAGTTGTGTAAGTATATGAGAGAACATTTTTAGAGAATTACAAATGCAAATTACAAAGTATAAATAAAGATGGTATGTTAATAGTTACTTTCAGATCACCTGGTTGGCGTCATGTGTGTTACGCTTGCAAAACATGGACATTAAGAATAAAAGATTTTCTTAGGTGTCTTCGAAGCATCGCTGGTATATTTTGGGACGAAACAATGAGCATGGATAATGTACTAGGTAAAGTTGGTAATTCAGTTGATAAGGTAGTAAATCTTCACTAACTGGGGTGGTTGTGAAAGTCCACCTTGATTGGCTATGTTGTCCGGTGTAGAATTAGGTTAGAAAAAAGCTAGTTACTGTCGAACCACAAAATGACATCAGTTCATGAAGTTAATGATAGTTGGAGTGAGTCATGCTAACATCTCTAGACTACTTGGTTTAGGTCCATATGATAATCATAACCAGTGTTTAGAGACTCTGAATGATATATTTCAAGATCTTTTACAATTGTGCAAGTAAGTACATTTATTGTCTTCTCCCAGATTCGATGCTTCTGAATTCTTCATAATTCTTATTTTTCTTATTTTACTAATTTATATTTTCTTGGACCTTATCTTTGATGTCTAGTCTTTTCTATCGCCATTGATACTGTCACTACTTCTACTATTATGGGATTTTGCCTGACAATTTCATCTATCTGTGCTAATGTAATATGACAGTCTGAACCGATGTATATTTTTATTTGTGTTTAATTAACTTCCAAACAGTTAAAATCTAATTTATTTCAGAATTAAACTCCAGATACAAGATATTCACATAAAATATAATTCTAATTAATATTATTTAGAAAAAATTAAAAAGTACACAACACAAAACAGTATTGTCAAGCATTATCCAAAATATAAAGATTTATGAAGTATATAATAAATATATGATATTTATTTACTGTGCATAGATTACAACTCTTCCCTCTTTCTCTCGATTATCACGGTCCTATGGTCTACTGTTGTCCAAGTTACTATAATTCATATTATAATTACTATTATTATCATTATAATTAATATTATTAATTGGTTACCAAGGTAACACTGTAATGAAAGTAAAGGTACGCAATAGACTAACTTAATGTCCAATATTTAAGTGTAAACATGGAATTGAAGAGTGAAACCAAGGTATCCATCCAAATTATTGTTTATTATTACTTCACAATGATGCATCATTTAAAAACTTTTTTTATTTTCTTTGAAATAACTAGAGATTAAAATAATTCAATAAAATAATAATAATGATAACATGATAGTAATCACTGCTTGTATACCTTTTTTAAAATTGTATTCAAAATTGTATTGTATTGCAATGCACACAGGATTATCGTAAAGATTAATAGAATAGAAAGGTGTTTTTTTGTCAGGTTGCATTATTCGACATCGAATAATCAAAATAAATTTAAGAGAAGGCAATCAAATCATTATGAGTAAATTAGTTGTTAACTTGTCAAATGTATTACAATAAAATAGATTCTGCAATATTCAAATGGTCTCGATATTATCCATAACAATAAGACAACAATTATGTGATATCATGAAAATGTACATCACTGAATGGATGGATAAATATTATTCAGAGAAGATCTGATATTTCTACTTTCCTACTTATGTAAGATTTCAAGATTTCGAACATGGGACTGGGACGAAACTACCACCTTATGCGACCTGATTTTTAATGGGTCTCCAATTCATATCAGTGTGTGATTACAACTACTAAATATTTTTGGTTGCAAGTATTTAAAACCGAATGCAAAGAAAGCTTTTCTAAGCATTGTTTATTTATTGTTTACTTTATTTACAAAAATATTTGACCAGATCTATCATTAAAACTCTGTAAAGCATTTGTATTACATGTCAGATTGTATAAGTTTAAACTTAATTGCATTACAGTTCACTGAAACATTGAGAATGAAAAATATATGCCAGTCAGTGTAATGTCTCGCATAGAATATTGTGATACTTTGGCATGATAATAAAATGTAAACTTGGTAGGAGACCTTGATAAATTATCGAAAAGGTTTTCAGAAGCTGACAATACATCGAGCAGACAACGTTCTTTAGCATCTTTCAAGAGAATTCTGAAGAATGACAGATTGGACAATTTTAATTTGTTTTTCAGATGCTTTCATAATATCAAATTACCACGTAATCCTATAAATATCGTTGATACTTTACATAAAGTAACTTGTTGAGAAAAACATATCTCATATTTCTCGCTTTCTTGTTTTTGTTCGAGATTGAATAATGGAAGAGTTCTGGCAATTAAGAAGTGATTAGGTGCCGGACGTATAAAAAACGTTTTAGTGATAACAAATATATCAGTTCATACTTGTCAATTTATTTATTAGTTAGCTAGTTAGTCAAACAAATCCAATGATAATAACCTCTATTGTAATATTTGCACAGCTTGAGGGAATTTAAGTAACAAACACCCAGTAATATTTGATTTTAACTCAAATTGTTTGTTATCATTAGATGTCCAAAGTTACTGTTTGTTAACAATCACCCTTTGTTTTCTCTTAGATCTTCAGTTTCTCAAAGTTATCGCATATTTTCCATTTCACAAATTTGTTCTTTTTTTGTTTAGTAGTATTGCTTATCACTAGTGTTCTTTTTACCACCACTGTTACTACCGCTACAAATATGACATGTGTTAGTGATTTCATCTCGATGTACTGATGTGGTATGGCAACTTGAATTTATGCACATATGCGTTGCTTTTGGCTATGCTTTACCTGTGTTTTCGGTAACATTTGAACCGGATTTTTTAAAATTTAACCTAATCCGTTTTCAGTGTAGAACAAAAAGAATAACAGTTTTTTTACTGTATTTAAGTTACGCAATTCAGTCAACCATAATCAAAATGCAATCTGACACAAATGTGCATTAGTTCAAATTGTTTGGTACTAGATTGGCACGGCATAATGTAATTGATAAGATTAATATCAAAGGAGTTTAAGTAACTGTTGTAGAAATTATACTAAGAAAACCAAACATTAAGAATATGGTTCGAGCAGATAGAATCTAAATATTTATACGAACAAATATTGGAACTCAATATTTTCAGGAAAACAAAAAATAAGTGCCGCTGCACCGCTTTGACCGAATTCTGATCCATTCCAATCCATGTCTCCAACTACTGATCACGATTATCGAGTTAAATTCAACCAGATAGTTTCTAGGTGTCTACGTGCCTTAGACCAGCAATCGACGACTTCAGAGACTGACTCTAGGTTTTAGTTTGGTCATCCCCTAGCTTTCTTTCACTCTATTTCCACATCGACTAACATTAGGCATCGAGACGGATCATCGTAATTTATAAATGACATATGTCTTAATCATTTCAGTTGATGAAAATTCCTAACCCGTCAACTGATTTACCATCTTTGCCCAATATCTTATGCCCAATATTTCCGTTGCTCATTTTTACGTTAAATAAGCTGTCCTATGCAAAATTAATAACTAAATTGTCTTTATGATATGTTTTTCTTCAACTTATACTCTACTATTTCAGATAATGGGACAATTTACAGAGTTAATTTAAAAAATATACCTGATCTAACTATCACAAAAAATGGATTGGCTATTGATTATACTTTTAAAGTAACACCGGTATTTAAGGGCATAGACGGGAAATCCATCACAATGGGAACTTCATCTGACATTAAGTTTTCAATAGGTCGAATGGGTTAGTTGTATTATTATTATTATTATTATTATTATTATTATTATTATTATTATTATTATTATTATTACTCTTGGTGATACTTATAATAACTTATAGTGTCATATTTAATGAAATTAGTTCCCGTTGATAAACTTTTCTACAACAATAACAACAAATATTATAGGATAAAGTGACTTCGTTCCAATCCATGTTCGTCTGCTAAATCGTTCACATATTCATTGATTTGTATAAATAAAATATTGTACAAATGTAATTTTGCACGTAACATGTATAAATCGCTCTTAGTTCATTAATTAAAACATATTTGAATAGTTATATGGTGTATGTTTGTTGTGTTGGGCGGTTGTTCGAGTGTCAAATTGATTTATAACTTTTCTGTATGCATACTTAACGGACTACTTGAGTTGGGAAACCGAGAGTAGGAAAGACCTGGTCTTGGTTAACTGGATCAAATTTGTGCACAAACTCATGATATTGATTTGACCAAGTGTCGCTCAGCAAAACAACCTAGATTTCCAACTAATAGTGCACTTCTCCCTAAAATCTTGACCTACGACGTGCACAAATCAAAACCTCTCATGTATTATTTGGCCTTGAACCAATATATCCAATTTATCAAGCACAACAATATTTACCCAGCTTCAATTTATAAATATGAAAGGGAATCACGAGCCGATCTAAGTCAGATAGCCGTTGGAAACCTGGAAGCACTGAACTTCTATTTCGTCCTAGTATGAGACTACTAAACGGTGTTCTTCCATGATCTCGCAACCAGGAATCAAACACAAGACTCTCGGTATCGCACGATAACGCTTAACCTCTAGACCCCTGAGCCAAGATCTAACGGTGTACATACTTGATTTAAATCAATGCACGATATTGCACGGTGACCTTTCGCTGTCTTCGTTGGATACCTTTCTTATATGCGATACGATTGAACTTCACTGATCATGGCTTAAAGTAGGCGAATGGAATTAAATTGGAAGTTGACACTACAAAATAATAGGGACGTAATTGTAACAGTGAGGATGATAATAATATTTGTAATAACAGTAATAAAGGATGATATGAGAAAATACAATTATTTGGTTGTCTAAATCGGTAAAGAAAGGGCGTCATACGTTTTATTAAATAGTGTTAATATAATATAAGCAGTTATAACAATAACCATAATTTAGAAATATAAGTTTGATCTAAAAGAACAATGAAAGGTGTTATTTTGTGATCACATAAAACTTGGGAGGGATGATGGAAAGTGTTTATAGATTATACAAACAAAGCAAAAGACCCTCCCAATTTTTCAAACAATTTTCTTTAATTGAGGCCAAAGTATAATAGTAAATGGATTTATATCAAAGAGTTAGGTGAAATAAAAATTTGTTTTATCTCACTCACATTAAGATAAAGATGACGACTAATTACTGCCTCTAAGTGACGTAGAAGCTTGTCATTCTTTTGTCTATATATAATACAAAAATTGTACTACGATCTTCTGATGTGTACCCATAATATGTCTGTCATTGGCGCTGATAGCTAGTTTCAGGCCCTTAGATTGACAGATTTCTTGTTTTGTGTTTTGTGACATCCTTCTTCAAGTTTATCAATTCAGCATTTCCAAGAGTCTATAAAGCACAATGAAAACTTCAGTGTGTTGTGATTTCTGGAATTCAGCATTTGTTTTATGGACTAAAGTGAACAACACAGTACGGAAGGTATTCCGTTCAAGGTATGCAGGTGTGCATGAAACACACACTTGCCAATTGGACATACTATCAAAATATGTTTCCTTCTTCTCGTGAGACATGAAAACAGTATTGATTGTCTTTTTAACCTTGGATAGTATTTAATGAGTAATTGTTCTAGGTTGGTTTCACTCAACTTTTCTAGAGTATTTTCTTAGTTAGCCTTGCACTTATTGGATTTTTTCTTCTGCTACAATAGATCCACAAGGCGAGGAAGCTGTACACTTTTTATACCCGAACTATTTTAGACCATTTTGTCCATGGGAAGGTAGTAAACCTGGACGTGTTAACTGTCTGAGATGCATTCTGCCTCCATCTCTTTACAGTCAAAACCTCCAAGTTGCCCTCTTACTTCAAGCTTTATACTTTCGGTTTTACTACTCCCTGACAGAATCAGTTTAACATGGCAGAAGATCATGGAACAACTACCTCAGATAATAAACATTCATTGAATACTCAAGATTGTACAGAGCAACCACTTTTGTTAAAATATCTCCTCCTATTTGTACTGATGCAAAGTGTGGGGAATTGAAATGACGCACATTTGTACCATATGCTATATTGTCTATCATTTAATATTTGATTGATACTAATATATCAAATACTAAGTGAAGTAGAGTATTTATGTATATTCCTGTCATATTTTGCTTTATTTTTACTCCACTTAAGGTCAAACTGATCTTAAAGCGCCTACATCCGGTCGGTATTATTCACTACAAGTACAAGTTAGACCAAGTCAAATGCCAAGCTGTCTTAATTTAGAAACACTGAATACTCAGTTCACATTAAGAGTAATTGGTGAAGTGGATGAATATCCAGATTATATAAAACAGGTGAATTATGTACCAATTACAATGAAAACAACTGAAACATTAAGTGATAAAAATAATCATGTGAAACTATATAAAATTGAAAATTTACTACCTGGCCGGCGTTATGAACTTCAAGTGAGTATGTGTTGTGAAACAATCATAAGTTTTTCTGTTCCACAGTTCGCTCACATCTATTATATACTACATATAGCTAATGCTTTTAGGTACGTCCAGCTGACGGAACGCACATCCTGGATCCTACTGCTAGCAACCATCCATCTCTGTTTACTTGTAGCTAGTAGTTATCGTTAGTAATGACATTTATATCAGTTAGTGAATTGATTATCTTGATATAGTATTATTGATAAGTCTTGTCAATTGAACGCTATAATCGTTTCCTAAGCTATTCTGTTAACTTGCAAGCTAGAACTACACAGCGACCTGAACACCAGAGAGAAGACGTAAAGTATGAGAGAAATACTTTACTCCAAGGTTCGTTTTTGTACAGAAAACATGGGTATTTATAGATGTTAACGTTTGTTGAATCAACATCATATTTCGGCCAATCCGTTAGCGACATATTATGCTACTGGCCAATAGTAGCACGCCACGTTGGAATTCTAGAATGCTCCATCGTGCTGTGATTCGCTAGGACTCTTCGGCTCCTTTTGGGCCACTGGAGGCTCCGTTGAAGTTCTCCGAAAGCCGACTCAACAATTACTTCGTAAAGACTGAATAATTACAGTCCAATTACAAATGATTACAACTATCTTCACATGCTGTTGAATAAGTTAATGGATATCTAGACTCAGTAGCCCGATGTTTGATCCGAAAGCTACTGAGTTAGAATCTCCGTGTGAAAGTTAACACTGAAGGATATAGGTCCATCCAGCTGACAAATCACAAGTAGGGTAAAACGCGCCTCGTAAAATATACTGAAAACCAAATACCAAAATACTCAGGAAATAAATGTATTTCAGCCGTTAACACATAAATCATGTGAATTAAAAAGGAAAAAAGAAAAAACCTAATTAATGTTCTCTTTAACACTTTAAGGAAAATCTGATACGACTATCGAGTGGTTAATGTGTCTGTGTGTGTTAAAAAACGTTTCACTGTATTCGTTAAATGTATTGACTTCATCGACATTTGCGAAATTGTATTTGTTCCCTCTATATTTTCCGAATGAGATGATTATTTTTTCACATCTCTTAAAATCTTTCCAGACTAAAACAACAGTACTTAAGAAATGGACGAAGATTAATGACCTTGTTATATATTACTGCATTTTATCACTTTAAACTATTTACAACAACATGTATTTTTGGCAACTCTGGACCTAGGTTTCATGCCAGTCTGCTCTAGTCAGCAAGACATACATGAACTCTTGAGGTAACTGACGCTCGAGTCGAATCCAGATCACCTTGACTTGTCAGTACAAAAATCAATTGGTTGTCAAGCTAAGATCACTCTGTAATATAAACTATGGTATTTTGTAACCCCCGAAATCTCCCCATAGTAATGATAATCGTGTGTTGACTAGTGACTAGTTTCAAGTACCTGTGAACAGTGAAGTTTAATTATGTCGAGTGTATAACAGTTGTACACCAATCGCATTGGAAGACGATCGTACATTATTGCAAATCGACTGAAGTTAGATGGGTAAATCTTTTGATTATATGGATCCGGTGATCTAAAGAACTTGCAGTTCTTGGGTTTAATTTTCAGTGCTTCCGTGTATGCTCACTGTTTAGCAGTCCTATACTAGAAAGAAATAGGTATCCAATGTTTTCTTGTTTCCATTGATTGTTTAATGAGGTCATTATATGATGAAAATAATAAGAAATCAATTTATGAAGTGAACGAGAATAATGAACTTCAAGGTGTGATTTTTCATGGTAAAAAATAATTTGATGTATTATTATTCGTACTTTTTCCTGCAACATATAGTTGACCGTTCCCACTCTCTATATTAAACATAACATTCATGATCAACTATAGGATCAAACCTACTTGTACAAACACAACAGTATGTAAGGTCGCTTTATTTGTCGAGGCCCTTAATTACCTTTACATTTGGTTTCATAATTATTCTTTGCCGTTTTTTATCTTTAAGTTAAATGTGATGTCATCTGTCTTAGTTGACTACAATCGAATATTTCTTAAAAAGATTTGCTAATTTCACAAAGTTGTTATTATTGCATATTATCACATCAAACCATTCACAATAACAATTATCTAACCACCTGTACTTGTGTTTCTGACATCTATTCTTTGCTCACTGATGACCAGCTTCAAGATCCAACTCATAGATTTCAAGTGAGAAGCCATAAATATTGGAGTTACAAATTGATTGAAGTTAGACATTAACACTATTGAATGACGGCTCAGTGGTCTAGAGATCAAGTGTTCGCTTGCCAGGCCAAAGGTCTTAGGTTCGACTCCTGGATATGGGGGTCTTAGATGTGCACTGATGAAAAGTCCCAGTGATAGAACGAAACAGCCATTCAGTGTTTCCAGGTTTAAAATGTTGTATAGATAAGATCAGCTTGTGACTTGGTTTCTCATTAGTCTCTTATCCGTCTTTTAATTTCGAATTAGCCTAATGAATCATTTGTTAAGTTAAGCTAATTCTCCCCATAAGTATAAACTGCGTTTCACGACTCTCACTGATTATACACGTACATTTTGATAAATAAATGAACTAGCTCATGGTACTGATTATTTAATGTAAATACAATTATGAATCTTTTAAAAATAAATCCATCAAAAAAAACTTTTCACTGTTTAAATATCTTTTTACCCTAGTTATTTAGTGACCTACAATAAAATCCATTAAATGAACTGAACATCTCAGTATGTAACACTGAGAAATTCAGACTATACCATACTCGTACAAACACTGTCATTGCCAATATTAAAAACTACAGCTCATTGATCACTGAGCATTGATTAGTATCATGCTAGTCTATTTTTCTTAGTGGTAATCAAATTCTTTTGATAAAGTTACAATGTGTCCACTTCTTGAATCGATTAAGGGACATCATTTCCCTTGGCATTAAGGTACACTTTACTGACGATGAGTGTCAACTGGTACGAAATGTAGATCAAACAGCTTTACCTATGCAATACGTTCAGCCGCCTAACATAAAAATTACTTCCCTTTCTTTATTTTGGTCAGAACATTTGTGATTCAATCAACATTTCAGTTTTTCCTAATAACCAATCTATAAACTGTTTAATACATTTAGATATAAATTTTGACAAAGGTTCATTCGACACTTTATCATTCATCATTTATATTTGAGTTAAAAACCCTTTTCCCTTTGAACATATGTGCATACAATCTTCGTTTATGATTTATTCATTCGAACTTTTTGTTTCAAAGTCACCTTGGAAATGTCAAACACCAAAGTTGCTTTTGAACGTCTCCTTTCATAATTTATTAAACTCCATACTGTTTTCATAATATATCTATTTCTTACATTGAATACATTTCGAAAGTTAAAAATTCTAACCGATAAGAGTATGATTCATTTAAACGACCACATATTCTTCTTTCCAATACTTTATCCATAGATTTACTGGGAATAGAACTCAGATGCATTAAACACCATCATTTCAACTGAACTTATTGAACTATTTAATAGTAGTATAGATTATTTCACGAAATATTTGATAAGAAGCTGTTGCAAAGTCGATTTCGAACTAGAATGCTTACGATACAAACTGGACCAATAATACTGTGACGATACATACTGTTTATTCGTATGCTTAAAAAATTGAAAAAAGGAAACGAGTGCTCACTTATGTAAATGTTGACGCTAGAAGTAGGATATTAAGATTTCTCAGCCACTGAACAAATTCATGAATGGTTGGTGATAAATGTTGTTTTAGTCCCCGCTAACATTTCATATTGTCATGTTACGTCACCGTAAAATGTTGTGTAGTTCATACGTCACATGAAGCATAACACTTTTTCTTACACTTATTATCGTGATGCTTTTAAAAAAATTGGTCAAAATTAATCACTCGAGAAGATTGTTAATCAATGAATATGCTAATATTCGAGGTTCCTCATTTTGTTTGAGTCTTTTAATTTTTTTTAAAAAGAAGTTTTAGAAATTCGATGGACGTTTTCATTTCATCTTTTATCAGAAGCGATTAAATATCGGCTATATTTTTACTCTTTTATCAAATATACATTTGTGTACTCGCTTTCGAGCTACTTCCTTCTTTTTGATTGTTAGTGGCACTCCTACATCAACTGGCTGATTCGAAGTAAGTGATGAAAGACTTAAAAATGTGACTTGTAAGTTAAAAGTTAAACACGTCAACTAGTAAACCAGCCCTCCATAAAATTATAATTATCGTCTCTAAGCAATTGGTAAATGTTTTTCTTTTACCTGATTTGTAATTGAACGTCACGTGTTATTATGTTATTAATTATTTTTTATTTCATGTCGTTTGTTTTAAATTTACTCCCAAACAACAGGCGGAAGTTATTTACGCAGAAGATTTCAGAGATAAAATTTCCGAACCTGTCCGTTTATGGATAGAAGATGGTAGGTTGATTAAGATGAGCGATTAACTTTTCTCATAAATATTATAACACCTGAGAGCAAGTTTCCTACTTCAACCCTGAGAAGAAACTTAATTCTCTGTTATTTTCCGTTATGGTTTTTCTTAATGCATATATGTTGACTTGTTCGCCTTATAATTGAAGACGTTGTAGAATTTCTATTTATCTAAATATCAAAATATCAAATGTACAGTAATATCATTATGTTTGTAAAATTTGAATTCTGTCGGCTTTGATAAATACAAATTAACAGTGATGACTTGTTGGGTAACTAATCGTCGAAAACGTCTAGCCTTGTGTGTCATGCAAAAACATGACGTAATAAATTAAAGTATTATCTGTAAGATTTTGTAGTGTCTCGTTTTAGACATTCAGAATTGAACTGTTAGCTTATGAAGCCCTCGAATGAATGCTTTGATATTATCTGAAATTTGAGAGAAATAGGAGGCACTAGTTGGTTTTTTCTCTGCACTCATCATTCTGGGATGTAAATACATGGAGTTGAATAAGTTTTTTTTAAACAAATGCTCGTAGTTAGTGTTCTCGTATGTTTTATGAATCTGTAAGTTATTCTCGTCAGTTGAGTAGATTGTAGTTTTAACCGTAACATTTCAAGTCCTCACCTAACAACAGATCACTTGACATCGCTTAGATGTATTTAATCTCAATAGCAATAACATAAATCTGTACATTCTAAACTATTTAAGTTATTTCTAATAAATAGTAACTCGTTATTGACTTCGATTGGTCGAATCATACAACTGAGTAGCTAAATTGAGTATTTGTGATTTAATAATGGATGACCGAAATTAATCATTATGAAAAACTGTAGTATATGTCACAACGTTGTAAATTTCAGCTCCAAGAAACTACATAATTTCTGTAAGGTTTGGATGTTCACTCTTCAATGAAGTTACTCAAATCATCACATTATATGTATGTCAGAATATGTTAGACATACGAATCAGTGGAATAGATCTCTGTTTAGAAAAATATGATATGCATTTTGTTATATCTTAGCTGTGGACAAAGGAAAAATCACTGTGAACATATACATTGGTGGGATCAAATCTATGAAATAAATAAATTAATACGAATGATAGAGATTTACAGATAAGGTAGACGATTTCGATGGTGATATTTTATCTGAGCTTGATAGTTTAATTGTGAAGATTTCGTCATACATTTTGGTCAACGTTATCATCGCCTACTTCATATAGAAATAAAATAACTGAAACGCTTACTTCTACATAATGATGCCGTCTAGATTGACAGGCGCAAACCCCATAATGGAAATATCCAGATCTTAGAACAAAACACCACCAAAGTTTATGCAAATACCACACTTCCTCTGAATGTAACTTCTCTTTTTTTTCCTTTTGTTATTGTAGAAGTACATGTACAAACTGAAGAAGTGTTTATATCACCAGGTGAACGTGTAGTTATCAACTGTACTGGATCGGTTGGACCAAATGATACATCACAAAAAAATTTAGAATGGAAGTTATTTGATGGTGGTCGTTTACCAGATGGTAGTCGTTCATTAAAAACACAAGAAGCACAATCTGGACCATTATGGTATGCAATGGAATCGTTAATATTTGATCCTGTCAATAAACAACATGGTGGTGTTTATGCTTGTTTCATAAGGCCATCAATATCGGAGCTAATGAATAAACCAGCAATATTGCATAAGGTCACTGTGACTGTTAGTGGTATGTGTCACACTATAAGTTTTTTTTAATGAATGACTACTATTATTTATATCAGTTTAACTCGATATTCAATCAGTTTTAACCAAACTTAGGAGCTAAAACGAAAGTGTATATGTGTGTGTCAGTTCAGGTTACTACATCTCATATCAGAAGACTCAGAGAAAGAATAAAGTATTCACTTTAAAGACAATAAAAATGAAAATATTGAAACGAATGTATCATATCAAAAAATGACCAGTTTATAATTCATTTTGAACTAAGACTGTAAGAGGCAATAAGGGGTGACTATAATTGTTGCTATCTGAATTGATATAATCAAATGTCTTTGAAGTCTATTATTTCCACACCCCCATAGTGATAATAATCATGTCTGCACTAGTGATTAGCTTCTAGATACAATTCCTGGAGTTCTTTAATTAGAAGCCATAACCAGTGAAGTCCAACCGTGTTGAGTAAGGGACACTTATCTACCTCAGACAATGGGTGAGCCTTTCATGAAATTATGAAATGATTGGAGTTAGACATTACCACCGTTGAATGCCGGCTCAGTGGTTTAGAGGTTAAGCGTTCTCGCGTGAGATCGAAGGCCTTGTATAATGTTCTCGGCTGCGAGGTTGTAGACACACGTTGTTGAGGAGTCCCGTGCTAGGATGATACAACTGTCCAGTACTTCAAAGGTGATATAACTAAGATCAGTTCATGATTTAAAAACCATGGAAATGGTTTGAAGATTCGGCGCTCGTAGCGAGACCTAAAAGTTTGGGATCCATTCTTTTGCGAAACCGTGGGTACGTACTGCTGAGGGGTTGCATACTAAGATGAAGTCGCTTCCTGACTTTTATCTTCACTGAAACCAATATCTATCGATTACTATCTGTGAATTAGGCTCATAAGTGTCAGATCTAATCAAAATTTATTTAATTCAAAATATCGGTAAACTGACTTGTATGCTCCTGTACCTTAATTATTCATCATTTTCAAATATTTATCATCAACATTTTTACATAATAATTGTTCTCTATTAATTTCATGCGTCTGATAGATTTGGAAATTAATACTAATTCGAAAATCGTTGAATTCGGTGAGAAAGTTATAATCACATGTCGTACAGCTAGTCCTGGACAATTGGATTGGATGCTACCATCTGGTGAGAAAATTGAAATCACGAATGAAATGAAATCAGACGATGATAATGGTGATCAACCATACACTATAAAAGATGAAAACGACGATGTAAAATTGTCAATTAAATTAATTATACCAAAAGTTAATTTGAATAAAGTTGGCAAATATACATGTTTGCACTCACCATCAAACAATAAACAAACATTTAATTTGAAAATGAAAGAAGGTATGTTCCTCTTGTTTTTAATGAGTGGTTAAAAGAATGATTGATCACTGAGTAGCAAACAATGACATGTTCGTCTAGTCCTCCCCTTTAATACAGATCAAATTTTATTGATCATTTTGCAATGTGACTACCAGTCTAAGTAACTTAACATCAGTTTGGGCATCCGGATAGTATCATTAGCTCTAAAACTTATTCTGACTCATAACCACGTAACTAATGAATAAGTTCATTAAACTAATTAAAATTTTTATAGTTTTAATCACGAAATGATGTTAGCTAGAGCACTGTTGAAAATCTTGTTTCGTCCAACTATAGGGCGAGGGTTGTGTGATGCCGTAAATTGATGGAAGCTAGACACATACAGTATTGGCTGGTGATTCTGAGGTCTAGAGGTGAAGAGTTCTCATGAAAGTCCGTGAGTCCTGTGTTTGAATGCTGGTTGCGGGCCCATGGATGAGCACCGCTGAGAAGTTTAATACTAGTACAGAGAAAGAACATTCAATGCTTCTAGGTTTACAAAGATTGTCGTGCTAAAATCATTTTGTTATTAAAAGAATGAAAGCTCCATAATCTCCATAAACTCCCCTATACTAAGTCAAAATGAGAAAACTCGTCAATGTGTACACTATATTGAACAAAAAAACATTATATTTAAAATGTTGTTTGGACTTGATTGTCATTGTCTGTACATTCAAAAGTACATTTCCCTTCATTATCGCATGGAGTCAGTAATAAACACAATTCTACTTCCTATGTATTTCGTAACTCTAATGGGATTGCTTTATTCGGATTCCAATAGTTTCTGATGGTGCTTTATTAAATTTCAAGTACTTAATGTTAGATAATATACACATCCAAAATCAATTAATTGTGACTTCTAATTGTTATTCAATGATCTATGAATCAAAGTAAAGCTATATTGCCCAACTGATCAGATTTTTGAGGACTAATTAAGATTTGAGCGAAATCCCATACGTGAATAAAAATACCTTTTAATGTATTTTAAGACAAAGTGAAAACTAAGAAAAAATCTATCAATAATTATTCTCTGAGATGCTTAAAATTGATAAGCTGATATAATGGGTGGATTAAAATATTTCCATTTTCCATGATATACTACTATCATACGATTGACCACCGAGATTATGCTATGTTTATATTAGATACTCTAATCGATGTGTTATACACAGACTGGATCACTTCATACCAGATGCAGGATTGACGACCAATAATAGGGAACCAGAGGATACAGACTGAACAATACTTCATTCATTACACTTAGTAAGTCCCGAGTAGAAATCAATGACAGAAAAGGAAATAGCATATTGAATAGTTAGTCAGCTAAATATCTGTCTATACACGACCAATGGCTAATCACAGCATACTTTCACTTGCTGCACATCACAGCAAGATTAAGGTTCAATTTGACAGATTCTTGAAATAAAGATGAAAATGTGGTCATATTCTATGTATATTTGTAGATTTTAAAAAATCTGTTCTACCGAGTATAATATATTCCTGTCTAGCACAATATTGTACTTTGATGCATATCATTCATCTTTCAACTGTTCCACCGATTTTAGTGATTATAAATAATCGACAAGAATCATTAAACCTAGGTTTCTTTCTAAACTTGGCATTCGTCAGAGAAGCATATCTCTAAGATGCATTCGGTACGATTGGAATCTAAGTGAATCCTTTGTTTGCGTTTTGGTGCATGAAGAAAAAAATCCCTTCCAGCATAAGTCTGAATGTCCTATCATCAGTGTTATACGGTGATTACAGTTCAGAAGTGGCATGTATCAACTTTAATAGATTACTGTTCATTTCCATTAATTGACTATTAAATTTTTGAACAGTACAAAAAATTCGGTACTTGCACACAATTATTAGTATTTCAAGATTGTCTATTTAAGTTGCAGAGGGATAGTTATTTGGTGTGACAACGAAACATAAACATCGGATGTACAGGTCAGCTAGAATAAATTAAATCTGTTCGAAATATACATACATAAATTAAGTTATTGAGACGAAAGCGGTGGTAAACAGTTTTCCTGATAAACGTCCGAACTAAGGTTAACATATATCAGTCCTATCCCCCTTCAAATTACTTCTCATCCCTAGCAATAAACTGATCTCATTATGTAAAACATTCTGTATTATCTTCAGAAGCTAAGCTTTAATGTTACTTCATATAAATCTCTCAACTTGATATGGTTTGTTAAAATCATATACTCACTGTTATATCTAGAAGGTTGTTCTTGATATACCGCGTATGACGTGAGCACTAGAACGCCAGAACCCTTCCAAGTCGCAATGAGAAGACAGAGGACTAATGAAAGGAATGTTATTCCCAGACAGTGCCAATTATAGTACAAAATTGTCAGGTATTTATAGTTTTTAGTAAGAACGGAATCATCATTACAGTCTTTCAATCCTCATACAGGAGGTTATTAGCATTGTCCAGTCGGGAAGCTACACATAGGAATTCTGGGATATTCTTCCAAAAGGTGATTGGATGAAATATCTTCGGCTCCTTCTGTGCCTCTTACAGCCTCCTCAAGTACCCCAGTGGTCCGTCGTCACACTCACATTGTGTTCTCAAATTTAATTCGTCAGAAATTACCCGAATAGTGAGTAGAAGACCAATGTTTTTTATCAATACGGTCAGTCAACATATGCTAAGGTTATACAATCTCTTTGAATTCTTTACAGCACTCACTAAAACGTTTGATCCACCTAAAGAGAACTGATTTTTTTAAAATGCATTAGCCTATATTTTACAAAAAGATGTAGTCTTCAACATTTTCCCTATTTATTTCCTTTTTCCCAGTTATTAATTTGATCAAATCCCCTGAAAGTTCTGATAAACCTGGAAAAACTCTCATCCTTGATTGTACTGCAAATTTGGGTGATTTACATCAATCAGTTGTTTGGTATAAACGACCAAGTTCAAATTCACCATGGTTAGAAATCACTGAAGCAATACAAACTATTGAACATATTACTATACAACAAAAGAATCCTGAAGAAACATCATCATCAGGTGTTTGGTTGTCAGAATTAAAAGTAAAAAATTCACCTGGAATTATTGGTGAATTTATGTGCGCAATACAAAATATTCAGACAGCAATGAATATTGACCGAATGGAAACTGGCAGCGTAATGACGAATGATTTTTCTAAAATTACACATGCAACCATTAAAATATCATTGAAATCTGGTAAGTGTAGTATTACAAAATGTTTACTAATTTGTAAAGGATTGTATTCTTCCAGATATATTGATATTAAAGATTAAAATTAACCAAACTCTATTAACATGTATACATTCTGAGCAGATTACCATACAGTCACATGTTTTGGTAAAGTTAATTTATTATCTGGTAGTGGAATCCGGGATACGTGTTGTATCCTATTTGAAATTCGTCATTTCGATAAACCTACATTATAGTGTTGGTATTCACACTTGTATTTGAATCTGGAGCGTTGCTCTTCAAACACTGATGTATTATCAACTAAACTACTAGATCCAACTAACCACTAACATGTTCAATGAGTACAAATCGTTTTCTTTTCCTGTTATTTATATTAATAGTTGTAACCGAACATTCAGTAGATTTGTAGTTAGTAATGAAATAAATAATTGAACTAGTTAGTTATTTATCATAGTAAGTGCTTGCATTAATATGTAGGTAGTATTTGTCATGTATTGACCTCAGTTGAGAACCAGAAAGCACTGATAAGCTGTTAAACTACTGTACTCAATCAGTGAAGAAAAATCAACTAGTCAGGCATCAAACTTCATCTCTGTAGGAGAGTACAGGACATTCCAAGGAGAGATTTTGTTTATTTAATATAGTGCTGTTGTAAATTGTTAAATGCAACCGGAGATCCATAATCATTATTTCAATTACATTCATATAAGATTGACAAGTCTTGATAAAAACGAAGTTTGAAAAAAGCGGAAGCATTAAAGTTGGATAATGACCAGGAGTGGGATCTATAATATATGTATATATACTTCTGTGCTAATATCCACTTGTGTTTCACATAAAAAATTGTATCCACCGTGTTACTAAGCTGAGATAACTATTGATTTTTTCAACGGATAAAAAAGTGAATTTCCAGTCGTTGAGATTCAAAGCTACAATGGAAAAGCAATATATTTTTCTTAAAATCTAATTATGCGAATCCACATTTTATCGATTAGATACAAGCCCTACCTAATAAATTAAATTGTTCATCAAGGCCACATTTTTTAATTTTACAATATGATAAGGAGAGTCCGGTTTTAAGTATCGTTTTGTTCTTTAAAATAATCAAATAGGTTTCACTATGATGAAGAACTTTGTCAAGTTAAAAGTTTCTACACTTTCAATTAAATGTTTCGTGAAACTTTACTGATATTATAAATTTTCAGTTTGGGATTGTGGAGTTCTAGTGAGAGGCTGTCACTAGTGGAGTTCAACCGTGTTGGGTGTGAGGCAGTTACCCACCGAAGATAATGGAAGATTGTCGCGCAACATCGCTGATTGATTAAGGTTTGACATAGGAAAGATTAATCGTCATCTCCAAATTACCGTGTCTGAACCTGTAAATGGTTGCAAAAACAAAGAAAATCAAATGACCCAATATGAGATTACAAATATCTATCCTTATCTACTACCAAATACAGTTGAAACAGGTCATTAAATTGATCTTAACACGGCTTTTGTGGTGTTGTACAAGAGTGAAAAAGGGCGTATACTAATGTTTATATAAGCTTTGACAGTGTGAAAATCCACTTCCCCTTTATGTATCCAAAAACATTTTGTTCTCACCTTTAACCTACCCTGGTAATATAAGCTTATTATTCAATTTTTCATATTATTCTCTTTATTATCCTTTTATCCTCTTAGTCTCCATTTATAGTCTAGTTGACCTGTTATCTTTATATATGAATGATTTTAACAAGTATATGTGTGATCAGATTGTTCGAAATGTGTTGCACTGATACATCACATAGTTCTGATAATCTTCGTCTTCGTAATACACTATCTAAATTTATCAAAGGGGCTAAGTACTTTGAATTTCTTAGAAGGCGACTCCGTGCACACAATATTGGTCATAATTACTCAATATATAATCAGTACAAATTTTGACGCTACTTTTAGATAATTATTTTTCAAAGTTTCAATGACGAACTTTTTTTACCTAGACCACCACTGAGAACCTGGAAGCACTGAGTGACCTTTTCTTCCTAATCTGAGACTCCTTGGCAGTGCAAATCCATGACCACATATCCAGGAGTCAAACCCCAGGACTTTCTGTCGAGAGTTCAAACAAATGACCTCTAGAACATTGAACTGGGATCCAACAGTGTTATTACCTAATTTCCAGTTAAGATCAGTTCGTGATTTAAAATATGGATATTCCGCATTCTATACAAAACCTCATATTACTAAAAATTATTTTTCATTGTCAATATACAAATATTTTTAATTATAGTTTTGAAAATACTTACTCCAATAAAATTGGAAAACGGTCAGATTAATGTACATTGTCAAGGATATCCAGCACATTCTAAAGATCGCTTACAATGGGTTTACATTCCATTGAATACTGATAATAATCCAGATAAAGTTATTACGATTGTACATTCCAATCCAAAAGATGAAGAAAATGAACATGAAACTGATGGGAATACAAAGTCATTGGAAGGAAAAGTTAGTACAGTAATATTTCTTTATTGTGTTATAACTTATCAAAGTGTTATATTTCTAAAAAGTATAGATTCTTGCATTATTTTGGAACGCATGTGATGGTTTCATTATTATAAGAGCAGCTGTATTGTCTAATCCAACTATTGATTATTTTGCCATTACTACCTGTATAATCAGTGATCTAATATATCAGTGACCGATAAACAACTGTCTAACCCTTAATTCATATCGGTCCTCTAGCTACTTTTAATTTGGTGTTCAGTCAGAAGAAACTAGTAACTAAGTAATTTTTTATTTCGTAACTGATCAAGATAGAACTAAACCATACTGAAAGCCTTGGAATAAATGAAACTGATCAATCAGAATGATTTTATGCTCGATTTTTAAGACGGAATTACAGATGGCCTACTACAGGATCTCATTTTTTAGCGATAGTTTGTATTTTGATTAATTTAATTGGTGGTCCCATCGTAGATTCCTTGTAGAATACTGTATTAATGACAATGAACATCTTTTTAATGTTGCTGTAGTCAGGAAATGGATTACAGAAAAATCATAGTGTTCAGAGATGAAGTTTTCTCTTTAGAGGTATTAAGTGTAGAATTATTATTTATCATTTATTTATTATCTACCAATAATAACAAAACTCCAAGCAAATTCATATGAATAATTTTATAAGCTTTTGTCACTTTGTTCAAAGGTATGCAGAGACATAAGGGTAGAAAAGATAAATGTGGTTTACTCCAATTAGGGCACACACCAAAAAGATAGGGCTGCTAAGTGGTGAGGATTGAAATGGCGATTTTTCAACATCATGTGTAAATTATTTAAACTTTTATACTGTTCGACAAATTGATATGTTTACAAAATATTCAAATTTAAATTGTTTGCCATTTCATAATTTTCCACAACCCGTTTGAACGCATGCAACTATCTCCTTGTACTTCCTTGCTATCTTATTATTCTTGGATCTCTGGACTAAATTTCTTGTTAAAAAAGCAATTAATTTTCATGCATTCAGATGAGTAACGTCAATGAGTTGGTTAAACCTTTATTCTAACCTTTACATCACATTTTTTGTTTTAGGGAAATCTTAAACAACTGAAATGTAAACTTCCCATAGTGTAACTTGAACGACTAAATAGTTGCGATCTCCTAGTCTTGTTAGTCTCTCGATTCAAAAATCTTTGAAATAGGTCGTTAATACTTTGATTTCTTCTTTTTTCTCTAGAGAGACTTACTTACTTACGCCTGTTACTCCTAATGGAGCATAGGCCGCCGACCAGCATTCTCCAACCCACTCTGTCCTGGGCCTTCTTTTCTAGTTCCATCCAATTCTTGTTCATTTTTCTCATGTCTATTTCCATTTCCCGGCGTAATGTGTTGTTTGGTCTTCCTCTTTTCCTTTGGCCTTGAGGATTCCATGTGAGGGCGTGTCTTGTGACACAGTCGGGTGCTTTCCTCAATGTGTGACCTATCGACTTCCAGCTCTTCTTTCCCTTTGTGTATATTGAGACCAACTTCTGCTGAGGTTGCTGCTATACTGGTCGTCTTCTCCTGCATTTGTTGTTGCGTTTGGGATAGAAGGGCCAGATCATCTGCGAAGTCTAGATCGTCTAACTGCATCCTAGATGTCCATTGTATCCCGTGCTTCCCTTCAGATGATATTGACTATCTTCTGAGACACGCCGTAGTATCGAAGAAGCTTACATGGTGTTGTTCCGTCCACGCTAGCAAATGCTTTTTCGTAGTCAATGAAGTTGATGTAGAGTGATGAATTCCATTCAATTGATTGTTCCACAATGATCCGTAGAGTTGCGATTTGGTCTGCACGCGATCTATCCTTACGGAATCTTGCCTGTTGGTCACGAAGTTGGGCGTCTACGCAGTCCTTCATCCTGTTTAACAATACCCTGTTGAAGACTTTTCCCGGTTAAGAGAAGAGTGATGCCCATGTAGTTATCACACTTGCTGAGATCGCCTTTCTTCGGTATTTTGATCAGGAGTCCTTCTTTCCAGTCTTTTGGTACTTGTTCCTCATCACAAATCTTATTGAAGAGAATATGGAGTATCCTTGCAGTTGCCGCTAGGTCTGCTTTTAGTGCTTCTGCTGGATTGTTGTCTGGTCCTGCTGCTTTGCCACTCTTGATTTGTCTGATGGCCATGCTGATTTCTTCAATTGTTGGTGGGCCAACATTGGTTGGGAGGTCCGTGGGTGCTGCTTCGATATTGGGTGGGTTCAGTGGAGCTGGTCGATTCAAGAGTTCTTTGAAGTGTTCTACCCACCTGTTTTGTTGCTCTTCAATGTTGGCGATTACCTCGCCTTCCTTGCTTTTCACTGGTCGTTCTGGTTTTCGGCGATTTCCAGAGAGTTTCTCTGTCGTGTCATACAATTGTCTCATGTTTCCTTCTCTTGCAGCCTTTTCCGCCGTTGTTGCTAAATCTTCCACATATTTACGTTTGTCTGTTCTGATGCTCCTGTTCACTTGTTTGTTTACTTCTGTGTATTCAGCTTGTGCCGTGGCTTTTTCTGCTCTTGTTCGGCTGGTATTGATTGCTGCCTTCTTGTTCCTTCTTTCTTGAATCTTATCCAGTGTATCAACAGTGATCCATTCCTTGTGATGGTGCTTCTTGTGAACCAGGACCTCATGACATGTTGAAGTGATTGCCTCTTTGATCCCCTTCCAGTTGCTCTCCACAGTAGTTCCTTCTCCTGGAACTTGTTGCTGAGGACTATCATGAATTTGTTGAGTTTCTTAGTATCCTGAAGAAAGGCTGTATTGAACTTTTGTGATATTGTCCGCCCCGTTGTCCAGTGCTTCTTGAGTTTCAATTTCATCTTGGCGACCAGCAAGTGATGATCTGATGCTATATCAGCTCCTCTCTTGGTTCTCACGTTCTCTATAGACCTCCTGAACTTTTTGTTGATGCAGATATGGTCGATTAGGTTTTGTGTAGAGTGATCCGGTGAAGTCCATGTGATTTTGTGAATGAGTTTATGTGGGAATATAGTGCCGCCTATGACCAGTTTATTGAAGGCATATAGGTTTGCAAATCTCTCACCATTTTCGTTTCTTTCTCCCAGTACGTGTCGTACCATGATGTCTTCATATCTAGTGTTGTCCGTTCCAACCCTGGCGTTGAAATCTCCCATCAGAATGGTCAGGTCCTTTGTTGGGCACTTCTCGACTATTGACTGCAGCCTATTGTAGAATCGATCTTTAGCGTCTTCACTGTAGTCGTTGGTAGGCGCATAGCATTGGATGATGTTCATTGAAATACACTCTTTCTTTGTTTTGAACGAGGCTTTGATGATCCTTGGTCCATGAGATTCCCATCCTATAAGCGCATTTTGTGCTTGTTTGGACAGCATCAATGCAACTCCTTGTGTATGTGGAGCATTTTCCTCATGGCCGGAGTATAACAGAAGCTTTCCTGAAGCTAGTTGTTGTTATCCAACTTGTTTCCAATGTGTTTCACTGATCCCAAGTACTTCTAGGTTGTATCTTCTCATTTCTGCAGCAATTTGGAAGGCTCTCCCGGTCTCCCATATTGTACGAGTATTCCATGTACCTAAATAAGTGGTTGATTTGGTTGTCAGAAGGGGCATCGGCCTCGTCACTTTCGAAGGAACTCGGCTTTTATCATGTGGCGTCGTAGTTCTTCTAAATGAAGAACTTCTGATTCCCAGGGAAGAGTTTAAAAGGTTTGAATAATTTTTTCTGGTTAGCGTTTTTTTAGCGAGTTAGTTTTCTACGGGATGGGGTCGCTAACTCCATGCAGGACCCTCTTCTTTTATCCGGGTTTGGGGCCGGCAGTAGCCTCCGGAGGGACTCCAGGCGGAGTTTCTAGAGAGACTGCTAGACATTTTTATTTCCTACACTTAAACGTATAAAACTGTGTCATAAAAATTGAAAAATTGAAGTAACATTGACATCTTCATTACATTAATAAATCATACTTTTGATGCTCGGCTCAGTTGAAGCATGCTTTTATTGGAGGATGCCGATATACATAATGAAATCGCCTAATAGGAAACAGCAACCGTCGACTATTGAACAAAGAATATTGTCATAATTTTTTCTCAGCAAAATAAAAATTTGCTAATTGATCTCAGTTAGAGTACTATTGAATATCCGGGGGCACTTTTGTGTTTTTTGTTCTGCTTTTGGGTTTCTCATCATTGACCATCTACGAGCCTACCAGTTAATGAATCAATGATTTCCAGTTCCTAGTGTAGGCACTTCATTACTATTTTATCATCCACTGGTACAATTATAACTCCGATCTTTGTTGAATAGAGTTTATAAATTAAACCAATCCCTATCAACACTCAACTAAAATAATCATTATTTGAACATATGCTTCAGTTTATATCAACCTGCTTCAAATTAGACTCTATACATACTTTGTTAAACAATTAGGAAATTGATGAAATCGTCAGTTTAGCATTTCAATTAACTGATAGTATACCAGCGACTTGGCCAGGTTCAACTGGACCTCAGCAACTTGTACAATCACAACTGATTGAACAAGAACATCAACCAAAACAGATGTATACTGCAGAACGTTTAAGTTTAACATTTGATAGTAAATATGCAGAAAACGTTGCCGGTGGTATTCTATCATGTCGTTACATAAGACCGAAAGGAATTCTTCCAATGGATTCAGATGAAGCAGCAGAATCAATAACGAAAGTTACCATTCCTCAAACTAACGACGATGATGACGAAATAATTGAGATGAGTGAAATTCCTATGAAGGAATTATTGGGTAAGTCAATATCTATATACATATTTCATAATGAAGTTCACTTCTTATCACATTCAAAACAGTTTTTTACCAAAGTACATCAATTATCTGCGCGCCCATTAGACGTAACCTTTTAAATCTTAAATTCATTTTTATTGATTAAATCTTCCAAATGATGTTTAGTACTGCAATGTATCAGTCTCTTTTGGGATAGATAACAGAGATGGATAGTGGCTAGCTGCGGAATCTAGGACGCGTGTTTTGTCCTATTTGGGACTCTTCACTAACATCAACTTTAGGATGGCGATTCCCAAAAAATTTAAGTCTTTGGTTTGCTAACCAAAAGTCCTAACTTTAGTTAGATAATAAGTTTTACAGAACGTCATCTCAATTATTGATTTGCCAGATAAAAGTCTGGCCTCTTAACTCATTGGGGAATATGCGACCTACAGAACTGAAATTTTACAGTATCTTTCTATCAATAAACATATTATATTACTTGATCGAAAAACCTATTTTACTGATCAACCGTCTTGTCTTTGATGACCGTTCGTTTTCGGTGAGAGGTGGGTCTTGTGTCAATAATCTGGTCTTGTGAGCCACTATCCCTCATCCACATCATACCAATACGATTATTTATCAATTGGTATTCTACACATTCATTATGTGTTACTGCTTATCAAAACCATACTAGTGGTATCAAGAGTGAGATCTAAACTTAAACGAGTATATCTTAGTGGATTAGGATTATTCAGAAGCATAGTATTGTAACGTTCGGTTTTCCCTGTGTACACGAATGGGACTTCAATTCACCCTAGACGAATATCTACACTAGATTCACTCCCAGTGTCTATTCTACAGGACATCAACACAACTTAGATCAAGAATACGTGGTTGTCCTGACTAAAAAGTAAGTGTATTTCCACACCGAAAACCGAAAACAATCCAATAATAATAATCGTAGGAGAATATATAACACTTCTAGTACATGTAAGACTATCTACTAGTCTGACTAAACAGACAACCACTCATTTTCCTCTCCCACACATCACATAATATAAATAGCCATCGAAAAAAGTTTTAAAAAACATTCCATACTTCAGTTAATTAAGGCTATAGTGTAATGAGAAGATCAAGTTATTCTGAAAAATATAACGTATTTGTGCTAAACTTTTAGAACAGTATGATCATAGATATAATTGTCTGAGTCAATGAAATAATAGGTCAAACATATATAAACTGTGAATTCATTTAGAATTTATAGGTATCATCACCCAGGTTTGATTTGATAATTTCGGCCGTCCAGTGCTTCCAGGTTTTCCATGGTGGGTCTAGCTTCAATTGACTCATGATTTCAACCTGTGAAACTTCGAACAAATTGAGCATTGGGTAGATTGTTATAAATAAATAGTATATTTGTAATATCCCAATGAGTAGAAAAATTAGATTTTCTGACGTTTCATGGCTTAGTGCAAGTCACTTCTTCAGAGAATAAATAACCAAATTAAAATTAATCCAAGTTTAAATAGTACATCGGTCAAGGTGATTCATAAGTGATATGTATGTAAATTAGTGTGTATGTATGTGTGTATTATTTAAGGATGAAAAATTGTGTGACATTTATGGTGAAAAAGGATAGAGCACACATAGAATCCAATATCTTCATACACGACATTATTCCACGAATTTGGCTTAGATATGTAGATGATACATTTGTTGTGATAAAAAAGACTCATCTAAGATCTTTTCCAAAATGGATAAATACACTTTCATCTCCCATCAAATTCACGAAGGAAAATGAAAATGAACATAGTGAGCTACCATTCTTAGATTGCTTAGTGAAAAGAAATCAAAATGGAATTCTAAATCTATCCATCTACCGAAAGCATACACACTCTAGTCGCTATATTGGCTTCCATTCAGCACATCCTTTCAGTGCTAAGATCTTGCTAGCCTTAAATCTTTTTACAAGAGCTAACAAGATCATCACATCAGAAGACAAACAAAAGAACAAGAATATAATTAGTATCTTACAATTTAATAATTTTCCTATGAAGATTATCAGTAGTATATTAAAACAAGACGGTTTAATGCATTATAATGATAATTCGGATGAAATTCCATGGATTGGTACTGCAGCTTTACCATACTGTCATGGCACAACAGAAGAACTCCAAAGAATCTTAAAACAATACAGAATTGAAGTATATTACAAAACAACGAACACACTTCGAAATACTTTAGTTCGCTAAAAAGATAAAATCCCTTTCATGTCTACACAAAACTGCGTCTACAAATTAGGTTGTATTGACTTGTGATGCCTTCTATATTGTAGATTCATCTCGATTGATTGATCAAATATTATTCTTGCATTGTTCCGTTGTACTATTTAAACTTGTATTAATTTTAATTTGGTTATTTATTCTCTGAAGAAGTGACTTGCACTAAGCCATGAAACGTCAGAAAATCTAATTTTTCTACTCGTTGGGATATTACAAATATACTATTTATTTACCACTTAGAATTGTTTACTTGAATCTTCCCATTAATGTTTAGAACTGCAATCGATTATTCCGTCTAAATGTCAAGCTGTTAACTTTAGCATGAGACATGATCGGAATATAAACACTATTTTGAGATCCCATAGTGCTTGTACCATCGGAGACTCTTTGACAAACTCAGCGTCGAAGGTCAATTATCTTGGTGTCACCTTTTCCTCTGATCTGTCTTGGTCTTCCCACGTTTTATCGTTATCGAAGAAGGTTTTCCGTCTGACCTACTACATAAAGAGATTACGTGCTCTTGGAATTACTCGTCATTTACTCTTACAGTTTGTCAATTCTTGCATATTACCTATTATTCTTTACTGTTCTCCATTATTCTTTCCCGGGATTTTGAGAAAAGACTTTGCTGTATTGCGAAGAGTGCTGAAGGCAGTTAGCAAGATGTGTGGTGAATCTTTCGAGGTCATAATTAATATGGTTGTGGATAGACATTTAAGATCATGCAAACTCCTGGCAGGTGTTATTTTATCAGATACTAGCCATCCCCTTCACTCTTATCTTTCTCCTTGTATATCTTCTGGTAGAACGAGACGTAATTACATTAAAATCCATCCACGCAAGGAAAAGTATAAAAGTTCTATAATACCTTACCTGGCAAATATACTCTGTGACGAACAGGTTGTTAGAATTAACCTAGTCAGTAACTTACATTCTTAACATGTCTTTAATTTTAAAAAGTTTGTACAGCTTTTTTTGTTTTTTTTTAAAAACCTTTTTTTATTTCTTTTTGTATTTGCTACTGCCTTTTTGTTCGTTGTTCAGTAAGTAACTTGTTGAAATACCCTGTGCTGAGAATTCTATATTGTACCAAAATATAATATTGAATAAAGCCATTAATAATAATAATAATAATAATAATAATAATAATAATAATTTTCTTGGTGGCATATATGCATCCTGTGCGAACTGTCTCGATATTTCTTTAACTTTATAAGCAAAGATGGATAGTGGCTAGCAGTGGGGTGCAGGACGTCCGTTTCGTCTTATTTGGGACTCGTTAGCTGGATGTTCACTCTGGGATAACGCAGTTGCATTTGAAGCGAATGGTACTGGGTTCAAATCCCATGCTTGAGATCGTGGATACTCACCGCTGAAGAGTTTCATATTGGGACGAAACAGCTATCGATTTGTTATAAATTTTCATTGGTTCTCCAACTTGGATCGATTCGTGGTTTCAATTTTGGTTTACGATTAATGATAACAATACATGCCATATGCATAAACCTTTACACCTTTGTTTTTTCTATTTGTTTCATTAGTGTTTTTATGTGTAATTATGATTTTCCAGATGCAAAACAGGGCGATGACAATGACAATTTATCAATTTTAAAAAGTTCTCTCGATGAGGAACCAGATGACCTACAATCAGATGATAATAGAAATAATACAGAGAAGAAATCGATTTCAATGTTACTCTACATGAATGTTGTGGCTTTATTGATTATTTTTATGCGTAATTAAAACTTTCCGGCTAATTTAAAGCCAGAAACAAACGGAAAGATTTTTTAAAGAAGGAAATTGATCACATCACAGTAGTCAAATCATGAACAGTTACTATTATTATTATTGTTGTTATGGTTACCATTATTATTACCTTAGCTTCAACGCATCTTTTCTTTCGGTTTCTTCTCTTATGTTCCTTTTGATTGATTATTGTTCTCGTTGTCATTAGTGTTATTGTGTTTTTTCTTGTCTTCGTTATTTTACTAAACTGTATCCTCGACCGCCTCTATTACTCACTGCCATATAGATATATACACGAAGAGAACTTATTTGAGTGTAAGTAGTTGAATAGATATTAGATAGGCATCATTCTTTATGTCTCTTCTAGCTATTTTTAGTGGTTCCAGACCGAATTTATTTTATTAAACTAATCTATTCATAGTCTTTAGTTGAATATCGAATTTTATTGCTTAAACACTCATTTGCTCCTATTGTTTCATCCTTTTTTATTTGAAACTATCATCTCGTTTGTGCTACGTCCACTTCCCCTCCCATACATACCTCAAATCCTTGATAAGATTAATATGCTTAATCTTGGTTCTTTTTTCGCTGTTTACATTAGTTGAATAGATCCATTAAAGTTATGTATTTTCCAGAAAAAAGAACAATTTGCTTCCCTTGTATTATTATAAAATGTCATTTTACTGTACAATCTATATAGCTGATTGTGATTTCTTTCAATTAATATTTATTTGTTTATCCATTCATTTTATTTCCTACTGCTCCATTTTAGCCTAGAAAATAATTAGCATTCCGTGTCATGAATAGAGTGTTATCTTATTAGACAGATATATAGGTCAGTAAGATATATATATATATATATATATATATATATATATATATATACTTCGGTGAGACACCTTTTTGCGCTTGCATCATTGCTGTTTGCTTATTCCACGAATCAATTTTTTGTCTAAAATGTTTCTTATCTAACATGACGTATTTATCTATTGCTTGTTGTTTATGTGAATCAATAAACAAAAAACATGATCCATGAAAAGATTAAATCGTGTCGACTGTCATTCATATTTTTATCACCATCAAATAATGCTTTAAATGTTTTTACCATTGTCAGTCACATCCTCCCTGTTCATTAGTGTTCGCACTGTTCTCGTTTCGATTGCAGTTAAAAGTATTTGTGCAAATATTTACATACCAGAGATCATAAAACCACTACTATTATTATTGTCATTATTGTTATTATAATTTTCATGATTCTCAGTTGTGCCATTAATAAGAATAAATAGCCTACACTCTTCTTTTCTGATTGCTCTTTTGTCGTTGTTTTTGTTATAATTACACCTGTTTTGCTATATTCTGGAAATCGGAACACCAAAAGAATCATCCAAATGAAGTACAACTTAACAATAAATTAATCTTATCACCCTTTTAATTTATCGCTGGCTATTTTCTTCCTTTCCAGTGGGTAATCTTTATTCTGATTAAGTCAACGAACGATGATGCGTTAAATCATTTTGTCATTTATTTTTTATGTGAATATATCCGTTGGCGTAGAGTTGTTTTTGTATTTTTGTTTTTACCTATTGAGATTTAAAATTAGTAGTATAAACTGTAACCTAAAATTTGCGCCGTGTAAGTCGGAAATTTCGGAGACGATTACATTCACTATAGCTATACAATCACATTCACAGTTAACTATTCACCAAAAATAGTACTCTGTAGTAAAATAGAGTGATATCGTCCCATAAACTGTTTACAAAAACTAAGTATTAAAATGAAGTTATAAAATAATCCAACAGATAATGAAAAACGTCATTGTGAAAATAACTGTTCCCATGATAAATATTTAGAATAGAAAAGTTACAAGTTGTAATAATTGCTAATCAGTAGTTTCAGGGAGTAATCGCAAAACAGTGGAAAGGGGAAAACAAAAGATTAGAGAGGATAGTAAACAAGGTTAAGATTTTGAAGGAATGAGGGTTTGAATATACTGTTTTATACACATTGGTTAGACTTGATTGGTGGATAGGTAGAGCCTCTGTTGTGCATGTTTTTCAGTTGTATTTTTGAATCGATTCTGACTATGTGGATGAATTCGAAGGAGGACTGCGGTATAACTAAGTGACCGGAATTAATTAGATATTCGAGGATTGGTCTTTAGACTGACTTTTATAGTCCTTAGATAGCCAGGCAAAGTGATATTTTGATATGCGCTACAAATGAACTTTGTTTGGTGAATATAACCTGTCCGTATGACCTCTATGCATTGGTCAAGTCTCAATCATTTCTCAAATAATATAAATGAAACTAATTGGAAATTCGTGGAAATCTGTACATAATTGACCTTATAAGCCATATATCATAATCGTATGTATAAAAAACCAATATAACATTTTGACCGTTTAATTTAACATAACTAACATAGTTACTAGCTCATATCTCAGTGTCACAGTATCTTTTTATGAAAAATAAATGTAATTCAGTATCTAAGACCTAATCCCTATACACGACTTTGAGCGACACTTTATTTATGAAGTATAGAGTAATCTGCCTCTACTATACTGACAAACAAATCGGATTCCACGTGGCGATTTCGAGGTTACGGGATATGTTTAAAATGGATATTTTAATCTTATATCGTTTAATTATGAGTTTTAACAAGGATGTTATAATTTAGGACTAACATTGTGATTATGTAAACAAAATGACGAGAAGACGATGTATGGATTCTCAAGATAACACAGTTTTGAGATGTAATGTTCGTTAACAAAAGAAATTAGTGCGAATGGAATTTTCCTTGCTTTTTCGTAACCGAAGTTGAGACGATATAATACTTGCTATCCACTGAATAGCCGTAGCACTGGTAGCTATTTCAACCCCTTCAACGAACCTGACTCGTATATCGGAATTAAAATGGTGTCGATATTGTCGAAACAGATGTTCGTGAATGTTCCCAAATTTTAGTCTACAACTTGGAAGTTCCGATAGTTCTACAGAAATCGATAAATCTGTTGCTAATAATCGAAAGTATAATCATGGAAGGAGTAATAAATTGGAATATTTACTCTGATCTAATAAGTCTTCAGGATTTTGGACAGAACTATATAAATGAGTATCTTTGTTACATTTGAAATGAAGTGGTTCAAACCTTAATACCTGTCAACAGAAAGTACATTGTTGGGTCGGCTTCCGGAGAACTTCAACGGAGCCTCCAGAGGCCCACAAGGAGCCGAAGAGTCCCGGCCAATCAGAGTGTGATAGAACGTTCTAGAATTCCAACGTGGCGTGCTACTATTGGTCGGTAGCATAATGTGTTGTTATCGGATTGGCTGTAAAATGATGTTGATTTAACAGACGCCAAAATCTATAAATACCCATGATTTTCTGTACAAAAACGAACCTTGGAATAAAGTGCTTTCTCTCATTCTTGTGTCTTCTCTCTGGAGTTCAAGTCGCTGTGTAGTTCTAGACTGCGGGTTACCGAAATAGCTTAGGAATCGTATATAGCGTTCAACCTACACGACGTATCAGTGGCGACGGGGATGAAAACTTCAATGAATATTTCCTTGGAGCAATTAGAAGCTTATATGGTGCGTCAAGAAAAGAGGTTTGAAGAGTCCCATATTAGAATCATGGAAACCCTGATGCAGAAATTCTGCCTGTCTGAGAAAAACCCTGCTTCTAGTGAGTCTCAAGTATCACATACTGATTCAGTCATTAATGCCATCCATGAATTTAATTTTGATGGCGTAGCAGGTGTAACTTTCGAGTCGTGGTTTAAGAAGTATGAAGATTTGTTTTATATTGATCTTTGCAAACTGGATGATGCTTCAAAAGTCAGAATACTTCTTAGAAAACTTGGGACTATGGAACATGAACGCTATAGCAACTTCATTCTTCCGAAGAACCCACGAGATTTTAGTTTTGATGATACAGTCAAAACCCTATCCCAAATATTCGGAGAACAATCATCTCTATTTAATATCCGTTACCAATGCTTGAAGTTAACAAAAGAACCAGGAGATGATTGGGTGAAGCATGCGGGAACTGTGAACCGAGAATGTGAGAGGTTTAGATTGTCGTCCATGTCTGAAGATCAGTTTAAATGCTTAGTATTTATCTGCAGCCTGCGTTCACCCGAAGATGCCGATATCCGAACCAGAATCCTAAGCAAACTCGAACACTGCCCTAATATGACCCTGCAAGAAGTGACTACTGAGTGCCAAAGGTTAGTAAACTTAAAGCATGATACCTCAATGGTAGAAAACGGTAACTGTTTCCGTAACGTCAATGCAGTCAAGAAAAAAGTCTTTCAAGGTTCCAGTACCCATAATTTCCAAAATAACAGCGACAAACCATCATCTCCATGCTGAGCATGTGGAGGTTGGCACTATAAGAGGTTTTGCCCATAAAAAGAACATCGTTGCAGCAAATGTCATCGGAAGGGACATAAAGAAAACTACTGCAGAAAAGGAACCCATAAACGACATTCTTTGAAGCCCTACTCGAAGAAACATAGATACAGTGCTCCAACCAACAAGATATTGGTATCACATAACAGAGCACGAAGTTGCCACCAAAGGAAGTATGTGACCTTGAATATTAATTAACACCGTACCCGCCTTCAGCTGGACACAGCTTCTGATATTACTTTAATCAGCCCAGAAACATGGAGGAACATTGGGAGACCCACAGTTTTCCCAACAACACAGCTGGCACAGTGCATCTGGGGGGAAGTTTAATATTGTTGGAGAAGTGCCATGCACTGTTTCTAAAGGTACGTTAACAACAAATGCAACATTGTATCTTACTAAGAAGCCAGCACTACACTTAATGGGGTTGGACCTTATAGAAACACTTAAACTAGCAGATCATTCTATCAACAGTATCTGCAGACGAGTAAGTACAGACAACACCCCAGAATGGAATCAGAAAAACGCCATGCTACAAAGACATCAAAACGTGTTTAGAGAAGGATTGGGAGAATGTACGAAAACTAAAGCACTGTTAACTCTAAAACCTGAAGCTGCTCCCGTTTTTCGACCTAAAAGAACTGTACCCTATGCTGCTCTTCCAATAGTTGAACAAGATTTACAACGACTTCAGCAAATGGGTGTTATCGAGCCTGTGAACTTCTCGAATTGGGCTGCACCAATAGTGGTGGTCAAGAAGTCGAATGGAAGTGTTTGTTTATGTGCAGACTACTCCACGGGATTAAATGAAGCGCTACAGTCTCACCAGTATCCGTTACCCTTACCAGAAGATCTTTTCGCTAAGCTGAACGGTGGCAGATATTTTGCAAAATTGGACTTATCAGACGCATACCTACAAATCCCTGTATCTGATGAAAGCAAAGATCTCTTAACGATCAACACGCACAAAGGTCTGTTCCGGTATAACCGACTATCTTTTGGGGTAAAGACAGCCCCCTCTATTTTCCAGCAAATTATGGATACCATGTTACAAGGTATTCCAAGGGCAGCAGCTTACTTAGACGACATCATAATTATGGCAGTAGACAAAATGGACCTGCAGAAGAAACTGGACCAGGTACTAGAACGCATAGCCGATTATGGTTTTCGCCTTTGAGCGGAAAAGTGTGACTTCTATATGCAGCAAGTACGGTATCTTGGGTTCATAATAGATAAAGACGGAAGACGACCAGACCCAGAGAACATTGAAGCTGTGAAAACAATGCCTAGACCCAGGGATATTACTACCCTACGATCATTCTTGGGATTGGTCAGTCATTACGGTACCTTTCTCCCCGATCTCCATCGTCTACGTGCTCCATTAAACAACCTACCACAAAAGAACACAAGATGCAATTGGTCTGCAGCCTGCCAAGCATCTTTTGACAAAATCAAG